AATGTTTAATAAATGATCGGCTTGCGTGTTTGGTGAAAGTAGATTGGCATTAAAATCCCCAACAATGATTATTTTGCTTATATTAGTATTGTACGCTTGATCTATGGAAAATTCAATGTCATCCCATATACTTGTAGGTGAGTTTGGGGGACGATAAAATGTACCGTATAAATAGATTTGTTCACGAATAACTATTTCAAGCCAGACGCATTCAACCGTGACAGGCTCTTAATCCGATCGACGTTTCGCAAGTATGTGATCTTTGACATACACGGCTACGCCCCCGCCTGTTTTGTTTTTCCTACAGTAACAAAACGGTGTTTGGAAATTTTTTAACGAAATATCTGAAAACGATTCATCGTTGTTTAACCATGTTTCAGTAAATGACAGTATACTATGGTTATGCAGTTCGCTTTCTAAAATGTCTAGCTTGGGTTTTAAGCTTTGAACATTTAAATGTACAAATGATATCCCGGTTGTACCGTCAAAAATTGATGAATATGAGTTAGATGAAGCAAAAGAGCCTTCAGTTGTGTTTGTTGAAGGACCAGGATTTGATTCAATATCTCCTGACAATTTTCGAGTTAGTGCTGACAAGTTGGTAAGCAAGTTAATATTTTTAGAGATATAGGCATATGAAGGCATAGAGAATGGCGCAAAGTACTTATGAGTACGATTTTTTTGTACAATTTTACAATACTCGTAAAGATCGGAAAGTAAGATGATCAACATGATAACTGGAACTCCATTACTTTGAAGCTTAATATCAAGTTGATACAAATAATTTCAAACACACTTAAGTGCAAAATAGAACGTGTAGCTTTTGAATAGTAATTTCCCACCCTGGCTCGATATTGTGCTATTTCAATACCCATGTCTTAAGTCACACCTCGACAAAAAACAAAAAAAAAATAGAGAGCCAGGGTTAACACTACATGAGCAAGAATATAACCAAAAACATGGGTATGTGGAATCAGCTAAATAGCAAGCGATTTGTAGACATCTTATAAATGGGTTGTAAAAAACAAAGTCTGAGATAAACCAAACAGAAAAGCAAAGAGTATACATGTATATACAGGGGATCATAAGAACAAGCATAATGGGAGTAGTTCAAATGGTTGAGGTGCATGGGAAACTAGCGTGAGTCGATTTGGAAAGATATGTACCTTAAATGTTTTTGTTTACATTATATACAAGGGAGTGTTCGAATGGAACAAAAATGTCACAGATCAGAGTTCAGGATTTACATGGTATGACCAAATGGAGTAAGATCCGACTCTTGTTGGATTATGAACACTTTGTCCTTTAAATCACGGATACGGATCTTCCCGTTTGAGGACCAGACTTGTTTGATACAGTGTTTACGGCTGAGCTGCCTCGCAATAAACATGAGTCTATCACGGTATTTGGTGAGGTTCTCATTTACCGAAATATTTTTGGTATCGGGATGGTTTTTGAATTTCTCCCAGTTTTTGATTAGCCTGAACTTTAAGTCGACGTTTTTCATCTTGGCGATAATCTGCCTTGGACCGTTTCGGTTTTTATTATTGGGGTTACCGACTCGATGGGATACTTCGATATCACTTGGCTGAAGTGGGATACCCGCCTTTGCTGATGCTTCGAGTAGCAGTGTTGAGGTGTCCTCACTTTGTTGTTCTGGGATGCCAGATATCCGGACCATGGGGCGCCTGCCATATTGTTCAAGTTCGTCGAGCTGGCGGAACAGGTTTTTATTTTCATTCTCCAAGTTGATAATCCTGTTATTAAGTGGTTCAACTGCTTTCGCTACCTCGGATACTACCAACTGGGAGATCTCCTCTTGTAGTGCCTGTTTTACAGCCGCAGCAATTCGCATGACATCATCCTCTCCAAGAACAACTTGCAGAGGTGCAAAAGCGGGACTTGGAATACCTGGGTGGCCTGGTATGAATGGCGGATGGCCGTAAGGAATCTGTTGTACTGGAGTAGACATATGAGGGAATGGATGAGGTTGTAATGGGTTGACATTGCTTGGACTGGTGGAAAGAGAACCTTCTCTCTGCTTTTTAGGGGAGCGAGAAGTTTCAGAGTTAGATTGAGATAGGGCACTCAGATTTCTTTTGTTGTTTTCGTTGTTACTGTCACCCATTATGCGTTTTTTATATAACTGTTGATGTAAAAATTACAATGGAACACTCAATGGAACACTCAAAGTACATTCAAAGCACACAGTACTTATATTTGTAACACAGTGCATGTAAGCAGAGACGGTAAGGTATAATGATAAGAATATCAACCAAGGGGTTCATAAACATAAAAAATAACTGTAAGTTGGGCGAAGTTGGAGACTTATAGCTTGAAGTTCCTATAAATGTTTGAAGTATGTATTCAGAAATGTCAGACGATGCAGCATAGAAGAACACAAAGGTAATGAACTATAGCGCACTGACATCGATAAACTGTACGGTGAGTAGATCTCATCGGTCGCTCACAATCTACCCAATACAAGTTCTATAAAAAACTGCATCTAAATAATAATTTCATGAAATCTTCACCAATACTTCTCTCATAAGTGTTGTCTCCCAACTCCTACTATGACCCATCACCGCATACCACAATGTTGCACAGAATAAGTTACATATTCTGCGGAGCTGCACAAACCGTGTATACTACCCAACAAGGGCAGCAACTCTTTTTCCTGTTTTTTAAAACTAATTATACAAACATTTATCAAAAATCTTGAAAATAACAAGTCATGTTTACATAAGTAAACTGAATAAGTTTAACCGCGTATAGTTTTAATTTTTTTTTATTCAAAGTATCACAATAACGGGATTTAAAGGAACAAAAAATGTATAGATTAATAAGGATGGTTGCAGAAAGGTTAAATTTTGAACATCATAGAGAGTTTGCAATTTCTTAATGTCTTAGAAATTTGTCATTTGCCACATTTACAACCAAAATCGATCCAAAAATGTATACCAATCCGGGCATAAATTTTTTGGTTTGTATCATCTGTCCTTGGTAAAATGCCCGCTTTAATATATTCTCATGGCATAAAAACTAAGCACTCTAGACTGACACCAAGACTTCTGCTTATCTTCATTTGTATTTATCTTTCACCTTTCAGCCATTGTTACTAAGAGAAACTAATTTTCCTTCATTCGTTCCAAACCACATAAACTACTGCGAGTAAATATAAAAATATATTGGGGGAGGGGAGGGGGGGGGAGACGCAAAATGACAACAATTTCAACATTTCAGCATATTTGTTCTCATAATCTAAAATGTGGAACTTTTGTGGTGATAAATCAATGCCCCATGGTTTCTATCCAAAGATCTGTGTACAGTGGCTGCAACGTTATTGTTGGCAAACCAATCGTGTAGAATTGTTCGTGTAACGCGCGTGATCGTTCGTGTAACGTGCGAGATCGTGCGTGTATCAGACTCAATCGCTTGCGGTTTTAATCGTGCGTGATCGTGCGTTAAGAAACGTGTAAATTTCGTTTTGTAAGTTTTTATCGGAATGTTATTTGTTATACAAGCATTTCGCTTGTATGTTTTTTTTTTTCAATCCAAATAAAATAAATGAAGCCCGATTTACAGAATTGTAAGCAGAACCAACTATTTATCGCTTGGGAATAAGCAATATAGTAAGTCGTACAATATTATATGTTCTGGTCAAATAGCGTGATTTTTTGTGATAAACCGTACTTAGATGTTTAAATATTTTTTTTCTCTGATGTTAATTAAAATTGTTTACTGCTAATTATGATCAAGATATTTTTAAAATCAATAGATCGAAAATGGGTATTTTTACAAATAAATAAATAAACAATTCTCAATGCTTACATAAACATTTAGTCGGCAGATTTTATCGAGCGTTAATCGTGCGGAATCGTTCGTGTAACGTGATCGTTCGTGTAAGTTGTCAACAAAAACGTTGCAGCCACTGTATTTTAAACAACCTCAATTGATATTCTAATCACAATAAATCATTTGTTAAATGATACTAAAAATTGTAGATTGAAGGTAAATCACAGATTTTTTTTTTATATTTGCTTCATAACAATCAATTTCCATCATTCTTCTATTCTTTTTAAATTTTGCTTTAACATACCTGGTCCGTTAATTGATTTTCCAAAAGAAATTGAATTTATAATTAAAATGAGCACAATCTCAGCATACCAAGCGATACAGAAATCGACAGAAATGACTTTTTTTCGTACTTTTCAATTTTATAAAGAAATAATTGTTAACTTTAGTGAGAGTTATTTTTCTTATCAGAGGGTCATTGAACCTTAAGTAAACCTTTTCATTCCAAACTTTAAAAAAAAATGCATCTAGACAAACTATAACTATTTTTTGTTCTTTAAACATTGATCACATCTTTCTCATCAATTAAGGTAGGACGTACCTTTCTTCAAAACACATGTATACTGATGTTTTAAATTTTGACTACCAAGGAAGATGTGGGCCTATTTTTCTAAGCGACGTGAGAGCAAGTACGTGATAGTTTGCAAGAATTGTCACTTGATTCTATATCAGTTATATCCTCATAAACAGCAGAGAATAAGTATTTGTTACTTGTAAGGAAAGGACTTTTAAAAATCTTATAGCCCGCTACACTATCAAATTCTTGTGGAATAAAATTTTTATTTATATATATATTTCAATACGTACACAACAAAACTTACACACCATAAAATAAATTTAATTTTATCGAGTTTTCGAGGAATTCATACTTACACAGTACTCGGGGGAAAAAATGAAAAACATCCTAATATACATGTAATCATAAATTCATATTAATATCATAAACACGAGCAATGAATTTTACTTGTGTCTATATAATAAATGAGCTGAACCCGTTTACCGTAATTTTCAAATTACAATGTACATGTTTATCAAGTCACTTTACATATTGATAAATTACGAAGCGGATAATCAAAAATACCTATATAAATAATACACCGAATAAAAGATTGATGTTTGATCAATATTTGACAGCACATTAATATCGTTTTATGCAAACGAGGTATAGTATATTACAATAGATCTCAATTTATGTGAAGTAACTCCACCCACATTTTCAAGATTTAATCGTGAAAGTTTGATAACCGTTTGAAAACAAATATCGGAGAAATATACAGGTAACGATGAAAATAAACATCCACTTGAAGAGGTTTATCCATCCATCGTATAAACCTTCTGTCTCGTGTTTTCCTGCTTCGCGTGTCTTTAATGGGTACCAGGTGTTTTCTTCCACATTTTCAATGGCGTGTCTTGCACCTTTCCAGCATCCGGGTCCTTCGAGTCGCCACTGTGGAGGTGTGCACGGGCCAAAGAATAGCTTTCTCCATAATGCATTATCAGTGAAGAAGAGCTTCCACAGATTTGGCTTACACCCGATGTGTTGTGCAAGTTTGTCGATGTACTGAATAAAGAAGATGACAAGACTATACCGTGCCGAGTCAATACCTTTTGCTTTCAGTTTGGCATGTTTTGCTTCAACTTCTTTCATGCGCTTTGCAGCACTTGGTAGCTTGCACTTCTCAGAAAATGCGCGAGTAACCCATCTTGTTTGCATTTCTAGAATCGGAGGAAGAGCACCAAATGGTTGGACAAGGCCAATAATGGCCAGAGTCAAAGGTTCAAGGTCTGCTGGCCACACTAGTTCGTATAGATAAGGGAAGGAATTTTCTACTTTTACAACATCCTCCTGGAGAAATGGGAAGCTGAAATTGTACCCGGTGCCCAAAATCACCACATCAATATTGTCAAGTTTTGTTCCATCCACAAAGATCGCACCGTCCTCGGTGAATCTCTCAACGTCGGTTTTTACATTGATCGTTCCTAAAATAATGCGGTTTGGAAGGTCGTCACTTATGGTCACAGCTCCACCATTGAATCTTGTGTTGGGTGAAAGTCCATATTTGGAATGGCTATATCGGTTATTGACACCATGGTAAAGGAATGGACGCAACAACGGCCATGGAAGACCCTGTCGAAAACGGCTGACGGCAATGTGGTCAAATGGACGACCTTGGTCAGCAGCTCGCTGTATTACAAATGTACCACTTCGTGTGCTGACATAAACCTGAAAGAAATAGACAATATTGACTACATTGGATTTTACTCTACATTGACTAGAATTTAAGTAAGATTTCTGAGAGTATAAGAAATGTAGTTGTGCATCGAAAATTAACAAGCGTCTTGAATAGAAAGTTCGTGCAGTTACTTACATGCTCGGCATGCCTACTAAGATCACATGCCACGTCTGCTGCAGAATTTCCAATTCCAATCATTAAGATTCTCTTTCCTTCAAATCCACGAAAGTCTTTGTAATCATGGGTGTGCAACACTCTTCCTTTAAATTTTTCTAGTCCTTTGAATTTGGGAATATTTGGCTCATGGAGGTGACCATTACACACCATTACAAAGTTTACCTTCCTTTTCTCCACTTTCCCGCTCGACAGGTTTTTTGTTGTTATCACCCATTCACCCGTATCTTCAAAATCATCTGCTTTCTCCACACGTTCCACTATGTGTTTAAATTTGATATACTTCATCAAACCAAAATGTTCGGCGTAAAGTTTCAAATAACTTTTGAAATGTCTATGTGCCATGAAGTTTGGGAAATCTTTAGGGATTGGGAAATCGCTGTAGCAGGTCATTTCCTTGCTGGTATTGATGCTGCAAGAGTTGTACAGACTCGGATCACCTTCTTTGGGAACATCATGGTAGTTCCAGAGTCCACCAACATCATCGTCTTTCTCGAAGCAGATTGGTTGTAGACCTTCATCCAAGGAGTTTTTGACCGCCGCCAATCCGGATACACCGGCGCCAATTACGCAAACTGTCTTTGGCATTCTAGCAAAAACAAAAGGTTTAAAACATAATGTACAAAAATTGGTAAGTAATTTTGTGATTGATTTTTTATTACCTATTTATTTATTCATAATTGTAAAAAAAAAATACTTTGACGAAGTTTGGGTACTTGCTTTATCGATCTGCACCGTTCGCGTATCAGGAATATATTCGTGTGCGTACTTTAAAATCTTCTGATATAAATTCAGTTTTCACGTCCCTTACTTTGTATATATAAGATTTTTTTTATTTAAAGTGAATAGAGAGGTGAGATTTCATACGTGTTCGTGTACGGGTACGTCTAGTAGGGGAATTCCCTAAATTTCTTGCCTATTACGTCATCAGTTTTGGCGTTGATAAGTTTTTCTACACGTTCCTACAACTTGTCATCTTCGCTAGCCAAGGGCTTCTGATACGCTACTCTCCTCATAAGCCCTTGGCATACGGTGTTAAAAAAAGTTGGGATTTTTTTCTCAAGTTGTGATTGGAGTTGATCGACATCGTTCGACCAATCAGCAATTGTTTTTTGTAAATGACGATATTTGCGTTCGGGATATATCTTGACTCTTTAATATCGGTCATGTAAAACGCAAGTAAACAATGATCCGTAAGATAACATGCCATTCTATGAATAGCAATATGGTGTCATCCAATTTCTAAAGCAACGTGCAAAATATGTTATTAAGAATCTATACTGAAGATGTAAATTTGCATTTTTACATGTTTAAATAACAAATTAACATAACTCAGTACCTTCTTGTTAATTATTCTTTAAAAACAATTTTTTTTAAATACGCTTTTTATTTCTGTCGATGACGCAATCTGTGCGTACCAATCATGATCACGTGACAAAAACAATCCCGTCTTTTGTCAGCACCGTATGCCAAGGGTTTATGAGGAGAGTAGCGTATCAGAGACCCTTGGCTAGCGAAGATGACAACTTGTAAAAAGGCATCTACACGTAGGTGTAAACTTTTAGCTTTTTCAATAAAAACTAGTCAATTTATGTGTGAAACTGTTATTGTTGTTATAATTATTTAGGATGTTAAGTTTCATGAACACTTATTTTAACCATGTTTTGTTCACTAACTAAAGTCAAACTAATGTCACAAACCTACTAAATAGTTGAAACAGAGAGACACCGATTGCACTCTACACGTTCACGTCATTAGAGAGGTTGAGATTTCATACGTGTACGGGAATTCCCTAAATTTCTTGCGTATTACGTCATCAGTTTTCGTGTTGATAGGTTTTCTACACGTTCCTACAACTTGTAAAAAGGCATAGACTACACGTAGATATAAACTTGTAGCTTTTTCAATAAAAACTAGTCAATTTATGTGTGAAATTGTTATTGTTGTTAATTATTTAGGATGTTAAGTTTCATGAACACTTATTTTAGCCATGTTTTTTCACTAACTAAAGTCAAACTAATGTCACAAAACTACTAGATAGTTGAAACAGAGACACCGATTGCAGTCTACACGTTCATGTTACACGTCATTAAAATCTCAACAGACAAATAAAAAAAAAAAGTGTACGTCAAAGTTTGTGCACACGTACACGTACGCGTACAAGTTTAAAATCTCAACCTCTCTATTAAAATCTCATCAGACAAATAGTTGCAAGCGTTAATTCGATCCCGCGTGAACAAAGAAAGCATTTTATTGCTTACTTAATTAAATCCTAAATTTGAAAAAAAAAAAAGTACTTCTGGCAAAAGGCTCGGTACATTGTATTTTTGCATTTGAATCTTTTTCTTCATTTATGTAAATTGAACTGAAATTAACAAAAATTATCTTCACAAAGCAAGAAATTTTATTACTCTTAAAAATCTCATGTATTATAGTTTAAAATAAAAGCGTTTTTAACTTACCTGTGCGAAAGTCTGGGAGACTGTAAGTCTTCGCCTAAACAGAAGGGAGTTTAAATCGAATTCTCGGTTTCATAATATTTTCCGTAGGTTATTGCTGAGGTCTCCTTATCTATTTAGAACGACGCAAATCATTAATTGGATAAGAATTATGGAAGACTTTGTATTAAAGAACGTGCCTATGTGGACATTGCAGCAATTTGGAACGATGACCGAGATTGAATAGGGTGAAAGTTCATTGAGGTTATTGAGGTCATTGAGGCAGTACCTGAACAGACTCAATTTTGAGTTGGTTATCGCATGTGGTTAGAGACAGGATAAAAGACACGCCTTTGTTTAAATAATCATTTCCTTTTCCCAAATTTTCAAATTAGGACCAATTATGGAACGCAATGAATATGCAATTGTTTTCCCCCATGCCATCAGTGTTTATACTATTGTGGAATGCAGCCCTGACCTGTTCATGCATATTATGATCCCTATGAATTGAGAACATCTTATATATTTATCTATAGCATTACAAAACACGAAGAACTCATTAACTTGTGAATGCCGTTGGCGAATATTCTCATTCGAATTTATATCTATTTGTAACAAATAGTAATTTCTTTTTTCATTATGAAATGAAACCACCTAATAACATGATGAATATACATGGGTTTTATTAGTTCCCTATCGGGGAAACCGGAGGGGACTGTAGATTTCCTCTGCTTCTGTCCGTCCGTCTGTCTTTCCCACTTGGTCTTCTGCACTTTTTTCCTAAACGCTTGCAGATATTGAGCTGATTTTTGGTATGTGAGTGTATCTTGATAAGTTACAGATCAAGTTTGCATTTCGTTTCGCTTCATTGATTTTTGACGGAATTGGGACCTTTTCAATTTTTAAGAGTTTTCCGCAATTTTTTCGTTTCGCATCAATGATTTTCATCAGAATTATGGCACTTTCAATTTTTAACGGGAACCAGATAACACTTGCCGGTAGGGGACTAGTATTGCTAATGCAATACTCTCAGAATGCTTGTTCTATGAAAACTCCAAATTTAAGGTTGACAGACCTTTTCTTTCCCTCCTCAAGAACAAAAGTGATCACTAAAACCTAAAGATTATCATTTTTAACTTAAGCTCTAGTGACTAAACCAATGATATATCTAGCAAGTCTGAAGTCTTGAAGGCGATAATCACTCGAAAAAAGACTTTTTCATCTAAGAAGACGTTCATCCAAAGGGCATCCCATTTAAAATGATTGTAAAACCCGTCAACCAGTCATTTAATTTATAAAGACCCTTGTATTACATATTATCTTTAGAATATCTTTTACATACTGACATTTAAGATAATTTTGTTTTAGATGTACAATATCTAGACCTGTAAGGTATGTTTATAATTGAAACGTTTGGAATATATACTATAGTATATTAAGTTTTAGCAATCATAAATACAGGTATGTCACCTGACTATAAATTGACATAATGCCATAGAGGGCCGACGTAATTTCACATTGACGCCAAAAGTGGTTAACACGCTCAACGCACTCAATTTATACTGTTGAGGTTTGAAAATTAAGTGAATCATTTCATAGGTTTTAATTTATGATACGCAAATATATCTTCCAACACAGTCACAAATGTAAATATAATGTAAATGTAAGTAGAAAAGAATTATCTGAAAACATTTATCGGGATACTAATACGGGTTGGTACGTGATCAAACTATCATAAAGGGCTTTATGGGATGAACACGTGACCAACGGGGCCAAATCTCTTACCAAACCGTATTTAGTTAAAATGAAACTTTATTTCTTGATAATTAAACTTACCCAAACTACAATATCTTAAACCTGAAATACAGCACAGCATAAATAAACCCTTGTATTACAAATCTTTTAAATCGTACCTTAAAATATGATATATATGTTACATTAAAAGTTTAAATCAAGTTAAACTAGATAGTTATAGATAAGTTAAAACTTTAGATCTAAACTTTTAATGTAACCCATATATATAATGCAATCATGTAAACAGAAGTTAATTCTACATGTATGTCAAAGCGAATTAGGTTCGATCCTCAGGTTGAAAATGATGTTTCTGTTTTATTTATTTATTTTGTTTTATTCGCGCCCCTTCGACATTTTTTCACTCATATTGGAAAGTTATGAATTAACGGTTTGTCTGGCACTTACTGAGCAGCAACACGTACTTCGAAATCCTGGACCGTCTCGTGAAAAGGACCGCGGTGGGTTGAACTTCTGAGGTGTTTAATCAATCGGCAGTTTTCAATAATATATATAAAAGGTTTTGAGCTTTTTGTCAGTAAAACCCTTGCTCAATTTTTCTTATGAACATTTGAAATTACTCTTAGATAAAAATGATGTTCTGTTTTGTCAATATTTATCATATGTGAATAATAATCCGCCTATTTATTGTCATCTTTGAGATCTAGCATAGCGTGGAAGCAAAGCCATAATCCTTGTTTATAAAATAGATTTCGGGTCAAATAAAGAACCTCTAAAACAGTAAACGGCTCTGGAACCTGCGATGTGAACTCAACTCTTATCACTGCGCTTCTCCGGCGACAAGAACGTGTCTCCGTAATTTTCTTTGTAATAAAAATCAAATTGGGGGATCTATGCACCTCTAAATGCTAGGAAAAATGTATCTTACGTTTTCTCCAGGCCCGTAGAAAGCAATTTCAGGGGGGGGGGGGGCTACCAAACGGAAATTCCTTGACAAGTCAAAAAAAGGTCACCAGACGTTATTATTGAGGGAACACAAGCATTTTCTATAGTATACTATATATCGGCAAAATTATTGGGGGCACACCCCTCAGTGCCCCCTCCCGGTTCCTACGGCCATGTTCTCAATACAATTCTATTATCTTTACATGTAAGATTTTCTTATCAATGACTGATTTTCCTTTATAGTTAGGGCCTGCAGGAAAAATTTGATCTAGACAGACAGGACAAGTCTTGCATAATCTATAAATTGCTCGAGCAATACATGCACTGCTGATATTAATTATAGCACGTGGTATTCAGTTCAAGTAATCTGACAAACAGCATTTCAGAAAAATTCCAGTCAGAAAGATTATTAAAACTCTTTTCAACAAACAGATCCACTTATCATAGAGTCCTTCAATTTGATTAACTCCTGCCTCGCGAGTTTTCATAGGGAACCATGTGTTTTCTTCCTCACTTTCGATGGCAGCCTTCGCCCCATATGCATTCCACTACCCTGGTCCATTTAGTCGCCACTGGCTAGGGATGCAAGGTCCAAAGAACAATTTCCTCCAAAGGGCATTGTCAGTGAGGAAATACTTCATCATCTTTGGCTTGCAATCGATGTGATACGCAAAATTATTCATATAGGCCTATATCGTAGTACATAGGCCACAATGAAATGTCGGGGAGACAAATCATGACTTGCCTTAATCATTGCAAGCCTTCGCTCTACCTCTAGTTTTTTTGTTTGGCAATAGAAGGTAGTTTACACTGGCCAGCAAATGCACGTGTTATCCATCTCGACTGCATCTTCAAAATGGCGGGAAGTGCCCCAAATGGTTGTATCAGCCCTACAACAGGCTAGTGTTTGGCATTCTATTGAAACTGGCCAGATATGGAAAATGATTTTCCATTCTTATCAATCCATCTTTCAGAAATGTAAAGCTGATTGAATAAGTGCCAAATATAACAGCATCTATGTTCTCCTCTGCAGTGCCATCTGAAAAAATAACATTGTTTTCTGCGAAATTTTCTACATCGGTTTTTGCGGTAATCGTTCCCTGTATTATCCGATCCGAAAGTTCATCAGAGATTGCAACGGGTGTTAACCGGAAAGGACCATTTGGAGCAAGGCCATATTTTGCAAAATTATATCGATCCCTGATTTTTTTAAACTTTATACAACCATTCCCCATGATAAATTAAAGTCCAGGCTTTTTGACATCATAGAGAAACTGCTTTTTTTCAATGAAAATGGAACTCGTCAATATATACTTACCTTGTCATTGGTCATTTGCAAAATTATTTTGTTTTAAAAAAAACATTCTGATTGTGCACACAAGTACTCTGAAGTTAATATAAAAACTATGCTTGAGTTTCTGATTGACAACATCTTTGAAGTTTTTGGAGATCAAGCTATTGACAAACAAGTTGATGAAACAAGGATATCAGCAGTCTCGTTTGAAGTCATCATTTCGCAAGTTTTATGGTCGATACAATGACCTTGTCAGCAAATACAACCTATCATTAAGTAATGCTGACGGACGTATTTTCATGCTAATTGTTAGGCCATTATTTACACACTGAATTATCAACGGATTTTTCCGTTTTTCTCGATCATAACAAGGAGCACACGGCGGGTATGACCGGTCGGCAGGGGATGTTCACTCCTCCATGGCATCTGATCCCACCTCTGATGTTTTTGGAGGTCCGTGTTTGCTTTGCTCCACGTTTTTATTGTTTAAATGGACTTTGAGCTTGAAAACTGTTCGTTATCACCATATTTCATTGATATCTTTGTGATCATGTTTGTAACACCGTTCCTCTAAATTTCTCCAGTCCCTGAAACCTCAGAATGTTTGGTTGATGGAGATGTCCGTTCGCTACCATCACAAAGTTAAGTCGATTCCTGTGTTCAGATTTTGCACGGAGACAATCCAATCACCTGATCCTTTATAATTGTCTGCTTTTCTGACTCTTTCCACGCGATGCTCGAATTTATGTAATTACGAAGACAGAAATTGTCCGCATACATGTAAATCTAAATATTTCTTAAATAATTTATGATGAATAAAGTTTGGAAATTCCTTTGGAATCGGAAAATCACTTTAACATTTCACCACTTTACTGGTTTTGATGCAGCAGGATTTGAAAGACTGGAATCTCCATTTTTAGATGTTTCACGATAATTCCAGATTCCACCTAGGTCGGAATCTGTTTTCAAAACAAATAGGGATCAATCCTTCGTCTAGTGATTGTTTACTTCCGGAAAGCCTGGCCACCCCGGCTCCAATGATGCAAATTTTCTCAATTTCTGAAATCTCAGACGATCTGATGCTGGTATGTTAATTATTGTATGTATGACTAACTTTTTTTCAATTGTTTAGTATATATTGACTTATTTTTACTTAAAATTCATGCACAATCATTAATGAAACTTGATATATTTAGTGTGTCCATAAAAACAAATAAATTCTCTCGCCAATGTCGTAAAATTAAAAATTTTTCCTGTGAAGATTCAAAATCATTCGTTAAAAGCAGATTTATAAAACTGTGATGACACTCAAAGATGTTTGCTTGAACAGTATAACAAGTATGTACTGACAAAAACGTCAGAGATACTCAAGCTATAGAAAGTCAACTATAAGAAGTGTCATAAATATCCTAAAATGACATAAGATGTAGGTCACTGAGTTTCAACACCTTCTGTTGAATAAAATACATGTACTAGGAAACAAAATACATGTACATGTACATATATAGGCCTACATGCATGCAGTGGCTTTATCACGAAGTGACAAATTATCAGAAGTGCGGCAAAACACTCAAATTTCTTTCTCTTCACGAAGAATGTTGTGCTTACTGCATGGCCGTAGGAACGGGGGGATAATTTTGCCGATATATAGATGTATAGATTACTATAGAAAGCATACATATTGTAGCTACTTATATACTTGTGCCCCCTCTGTAATAACGGCTGAAAACCTTTTTTGCGCTTGTCAAGGAACCCGAAAATGTTTGGTTGTGGGTTGTGCCCCCTCCCCCCTCCCAACTAAAATTGCTTCCTACGGACCTGCCCTGGCCTGTTAAAAGTTAGAGAGAGTAAATTAACCATCCTGACGGAGACTGAAACTGTCAAAGTTTCTCCAATTATGTTGTTGAAATCCAGTGTTTACAATGTTTGAAGCTATATATGGCGTACCTGAGCTAAAAAATAAAAAAAAACAAATAAACATGATATATGTTATTTACGTTCAAATTAAAATTTTCAAAGATTTTGAACTTGAATAACCTCACGTTTCCATAGTTAAATTGACTTTAAGCTGTGTCTGTTAATTAAATGCGGAGTCGGTAAATAAATCGACCGGTTATTGTTAACGTGATTGATTAAATTGTGTAATTTCCAGGATAGTTCTATCTTTATATAAAGTAATAAAACAAATAGAAATATCTTTTTTAATTTTAGTAAGTCTGAACCTATAAAAAATACGCCATATATGACTTTAATAATTTAGCGAGCCAGGAAGTGGCGCGAAGAGGCTTTGGACAAAAACTCTTAAAATTCGGGTTCGGTATTCTCTTTTTCAGAAATTTAAAAAAAAAAATTATAGCCTAATGAATTGAAGTATTTTGGAGAATTGATAGGACATGGAGAACATTTTTTCCCCAATCGAATTGCTTATAAAGTTCTTATATTTTTAACTCATTTTTTTTGTTCCACTTTGATTATTTTCAATATACAGCTCTTTCGTTTATTAGTCAATGCTTAAATTGTGTACAAGTTCCCAAGCACCTCATAACATTGACCGCTGACTTCCTGTCAGGAGAGAAAGGTTATAAGTTATATAATTAAAATTATTGAGGACTATACAGTGAAAAATGGGGTGTACGGCTAGTACCCCTGTCATAGGTATGTGTAAATTTGTTTTAATGTTAAGATTATTTTGTAAATTTCATTTTGTTTTTCCGTTTCGAAATGATCATCTGATGATTAGATGAGAGAAAACTTCCGTAATAATCGTTTATACTTATTGATTTTTGTTTTTACTATAATAAATAGGATTTAACTTTCGCTATTTAATGCACTTGGGTTTTTTTTTTTATGAGGTAGCACATGACATACGAATTTTGCAATAACATTTTAAATATAGATTGTATTGCAGATTGAATCATTGTATTTAAATGTCTAATGAATGAAATATTGCAGTACACCGACCTCCTCCTAATTGCAGTGTTCAGAAAGAAGGATATATTTTGTATTGTGCATCTCAAGGTTAGTCCAAAAAATTCAGTTAAAATTCTGAATGATTAAGAAATCCTATACTGATTTAATTACTAGTTAAAAGTACTGAATAAATTTTTGGATATGATTAGATTTATTGAAAAGTTCTTACAAAAACTGTCCAACAGGGCCTAAAGTCCAATGATTTTCAAGAATGCTGAACCTTATGTAATTTAGATAGTATGATGGTAGTATGCAATGTAGCAAAAATGGGGGGATTTATCTTGGCATTATTTTGAAGTATGCTGTAAATAAACACGAGTATTAAGTTAAGATATTTGGGGCTAGTATGTACATCCCAACTCCTAAAAAAATCTGTAAAAAGGAAAAATTCAACACATTTTCTCAACTTTTTAATTTCCCATGTCAGATTTATCTGTCATATGTTAATTGACATTCTTTGAACTCTCTGAATTGTTCATAGAATATACATGTACTTGGATTAGAACTATGTGCCCAGGGCCTGTTTATGATGCTGCATTCCAAACACACAGAACAAATTCTATTGTTAATTATGGGTCCTTGGGACAAATTGTATTAAAGATGAGTTCAAATTATCAATAATTTCCTACTGCTAAATGTGAAAATTAAAAAAAAAATGCCTTGCCAATGGAATGATTTTATTGCAACTTTCACAGTTTGCCCTTTTTCTGTAAAACAATATATGGGACATATTCTAAACAAAGAAACACGAAGCTGTTGTCAATTCAGGAAAAAGTTAAATGCACAAAATTACTGGGTATCCAAAAAAAAAAATCTTGAAAATTAAAATGTATCTAGTTGTTATAAATTGAAAATGCCTATAGGTGTGTCCAACAATACTGCTACACAGAATGAAGTACAAGTTTTATATGTAAAAACTTTTAGGAGGAAATTGGAAAACTTACCTGTTTCGACTCTATCAAGACTCTTCCTTTATTTGGTATGGAGAATCCAGTGAAGAGCTTGGCTGTGTAAAACTAAAGGTAAATATCAACATATCAATGATTTTTATTTCAGTTTGTTTCAAGTTTGCATATTTTTATTTAATATTAATCACATATGTAGGGAGAGAGAAATTTTATATCATGTATAGAGGTACAAATCTATAACCAATGGTTTGATATTTTGTTAAAGTATATTTACGAATTTTCAACATATTTTAATATTCCTAAATTTTTTTTTTCTAACTGCTACAACCAATTCCATTGTGTGAAATAATTGATGCATTGCTATATAATTACTGTACTGGTAGTGTCTCTCAAGGGGATCCCTAGTTGACAGTTCATTTTTCTAATTTTTTAAGAAATAACATCTGATTGATTTTTTTTTCTGTAGGATGTAGCACCTTTGATTGCTATTGGACAAAACTGTCTCCAAGTCCCCAAAAGACCTGAAATCCCTTCAGGACAAAGCATAAATCACATGATGGCCTTCCCCTATAATCATCCTCGAGGAACACATCGCAAGGACATGAAAATCAACTGGATTTTATTCAGGGGGGAAGACGAAATGAAGTTAGTTTTCTGTTATGAAAGTTCTCCTTTCCATTTCTAGAACTGATTAATTATTTCAGTGTTTGTAAAATCCAGTCATTATTTGTTTTACTCACATTTACAAGTACATGTAATTAAGATTTGTAAAGGTGTAATTAGTCGAATCAAATCAAATTACAAATGATTAATATCAGAAACATATATTACCAGTATTATGGTTTTATACTCTGCTATATAATTTTGCACTTTTCACACAGAAGGGTTTCTTGGGGTAAAAGATAAGTATTAATGAAAAGAGCAGAAAAAATAGTCTTGTAGTCAAATTGTAGAGAGCAGAGAAAATAGATTTCATTGATAAACCATAACAATAACCATGAGTGGGAGCAAATCAAACAGCTCTGTAATCTGTATTCAGTATAGCTAGCTTTATGGTTTTGTATTAGAATCATAGAATACAAGATGGTTTCTTTATTTTTTTTAGGCAGTGGATTGAAGCACTTGGAGCTGTGGTAAGTTGTACATTCAGCAGTCACTCAAAAGGTCAATAGGTCACCTACATATCACAAGGTCATTCCAATTTATGACCAAAATTTCCCTGCATAGAAATCATAAATCATCTAAAAATCTTCTCCACATACAAGGCCTGAAAAGACTAAACTTGTTGAGAGATTCCACATATACAGTCAAATCTTGTTATATCTTGTTATCTCGAACTGAATGGGACTGAGAAAAATTTGCTAGATACCCAAACATTAGAGATATCAAGGTTAAAAGACATAAAGAAAAAGCTGGTTGGGACTTTCACTTCACTTTGACATTAACATGATATTCGAGATATCAAAGTTCGAAACACTGAAGTTCAACTGTAGTATAAGTTCAATTTTGTAATCAGATAATGATCCCTGATTATAGGGTGGGATCACAATATGAGGTCAAAGTTTGTATAATAACTAATACATATATTTCGAAATTCTTTGAAAAATTTTCTTGAATCCTCTCAAGAACTAAATAGCCCAACAATTAGTAATATTGATATGCAAGCATTTCCATGAAATGTAGAATTAATTTGGTTCAAACTATATATAGCCTCTGGGGCTTGGTAGGGCAAAGGTTTTATATGATTGATATATATATATATATATATATATATATATATATATATATATATATATATATATATCTACATGATCAGAATATTGCTCTGCATAGGCAACACTAAACTAAAAGAAAGATAACTCCTGGATATACATATAGTTTAGGAAATTGTAAGGTTGGCAGAGATATGGATCTCTAAGTAAGGAAGAAAAAAGAAATTTCAGTGACCACTCGTCCCTGGGGATGAGCATGAAATCATATCTACTTGTCCCCATGATGAGTTTAGTAATCCCTTATAAAGCATTTCATCTAGTAATAAATAAAAAAAGATTAAAGCTTGTTTTATATTTCTTTATCATTTCAAACTGTGTCTGATGTACATTTGATATCTATTTATTGTGAGTCTAAGTCTCTTGTCAAACATAGAAGCATTTTGTTTTTCATTTTCATTTTGTTGTTTGAAGCATTTTCTTGTCATTATAACTTAGGGTTACGAATACAGGAAAATTATCATTCCAAAAATTCTACTTGACACCAGGAACAATCAGATTATGACATCTGCTTGTCCACAGTCAATTTTCACTCGTCCAGGATGAGTTGACAAGTGCTTTTTTTTGCACCCTACTAAGTGCTATTTAATCTGATGTTTCAATCCTAAAATGATGGCCTTGAACTACTCCGATACTTGTACATATGTATAGTCATAACAGCAACTTTCTCTCTTCTTCTCTGAATACTCCATATTCAAATACAAGTTCATTTATACAGGTTTTAGATTTATTAACAGGGTTAATTTTTTTTGGTAGCTGCCACCTCCACCACAAGCACAGCAGAATGGACATGCCACACAAGGCCAGCCTCCTCCCCCTGGCTTCCAGCCTCAGGCAATGAATGGCCATGTTCAGAATGGATATCCTCCACAGCCAGCCTACCCACCACCTAATGGATACCAAGGCCACCACCAGCCACCTCCAGGGCACACCACAACGGTGGTGAACCAGCACCACTACCATACTGTTCCACAGCATAGCTCCAGGGGAGATGATTTTGCTACAGGTACGGATTGTTAATGTACTAGGGGTCAAAATGTTTAATAAAAATTCAGCAGATAATGCATTTACAGATGTAAATACATGACATGTATTCTATAAAATTTTGAAGAAAAAATATATTTCTAGTTTGTGGAACTTACATGAATTTTTTGTAAACTTTTAGGTCTGCTGATTGGAGGAGCATTGGGCTGGGGTTATGGTCATGGCTGGGGATATGGTCATCATTACCATGGATATGGTTGGGGGAGCTGGGGCTCATTTCACTCACATGGAAGTTTTGGAGGAAGTGGTCATTTTGGAGGTGGATGTGGAGGAGGGGGTTGTGGTGGAGGAGGATGTGGGGGTGGGGGAGGATGTGGGGGTGGCGGGGGATGTGGGGGTGGTGGGGGATGTGGCGGGGGAGGCTGTGGTGGGGGATGTGGAGGTTGTGGTGGTTAGAAACATCCTAATACACATATTCCATGGTGTCCAGTGGATAAAGGAAACTAAATGCTCAAGAATGCATAACTTATTTTTGTACAAAGTATGAGCAGTGTAAAATAGAAAATTTTATTTATTTTTTTCTCTCACATTAAAAATGAATAATTGTAAGAAAAAAATCAAGTTTATTTGTATCATGTAATTTTATGACATTAACTAGAGTAAATCACCCTTTTCGAGTTTTTTTTTTTTTGTGACCTGAAACTGTAAAAGGTGAAATATTTTTTTTTAAGTATTTTACTCTCTACATTGATTTTATCATACCCATATGTTTTGTTCATTTGGTTTTTCTTGGGGGGGGGGGGGGGGGGGGATAAGTTCCAATTTGTATTTGTAAGTAAATTTGTATGTAATTTTTTTTTCTTTTTCTCAAGAGAGAAAAAAATTATGTGCTGTTGTTATATATTTTTTTTTTCTTTGAAAGTTCACAACTTGTTTTTTCCATTCTCGTCCTTTTCACAATGAAAATTGTGATATTACTGTGATAATTAAAATGATTGATAACTGATTTATTGTCCATAACAATATTTTTATACCTTATCATGTTGTTATTGTTACGGAGTCCGTCCATTAATTAAGATATTGTACTATATATACTGACTGGTTTTAGTATTCAATTTGTCAAAATATGTAAATCTACATGCTTCTTTAGAAAACACATGTAATCTAGAATACTTTCTTGCTTTTTCTTGCTTTTTTTAAATGTGTTTACATGTCTTTATTTGATTTTGTGATCTTTTCTACAATTTCTATAGATTTTTTAATACATAGAACGTATATATATCTGCTTTAATGTATATTTGCTTTAATTTATCATAGAAGTACATAGTAGCTTTTTTTCTTTCAATATTTAGAAGAGGAAAGAATTACAATACTCAGTTTTGACTCAAATCAGGATGATGATTCATCAATACAATTTTAAGATACCTTTTTTTCTTCTATTACCCAAATATTTGTTTTTGTTGCCCTGGGATCAATGTATACTACACTTGTACTAACTCTAACACAATCTTATAGTCTCTTGTTTTTTTTTTTTAAATTTGTGTTTCTCTGTTGAAATTCAATGACAAGAGTTTTGATTCTATCTTGCAATACATGGCTTTGGTATGTTCTCAATTCCCTAATTTTTGTTTTTACACACCTTGAGTACATGTACAAAAATACTGTGATATCTTGTTTAATATTGCACAAATCTGTTATTGTTTTAAATGAAAGTTTAAAAAAAAAAGAAGAATTTTGTCCTTTGTTTTATTTGCTACGCTGCTAATTATTAAGTAGATTTGTAATGGGTACATGTAAGACAATAAAGAATTGAAAGAAAAAAAAGATAGTCATAAGGTCAAAAATTTATCCTATTCCATTGATTTTTTAAATTTGTATAAATAAAATTTTACAATTTTCATATATCAAAAGAAAGAGAGATAAGTTAAAATTTCTACTAAAGCCAACGAATTAGTGGAAAACGGAAACTATTTACACCCCCCCCCCCCCCCCACACACACACACCCCGGTGAAAAAAAATTCCTTTTGACAGGTATTAGAATTTTTTATTTAAAAAAATAATATCAAAGCTAGTTGTAACTTGTTTCACCGGGGAAAGGGGGGGGGACTGAAATACTCCGAAAAATGTTCATTGTACATGATATAAAACTATAAAATATTACTGAGTGAATCGGATACAGTTAATTCTAAATAAGTTAAACATACTGAAAGATTAAGTGGCCATTTATCCTTATCTATGAATATTTTTATTTAAATTCTGGTCACGTACTTAAGAACTCAAATTTATACGCCCACATCAAACCAGCATTCTGAGAGTATTGCATAAGCAATTATACTAGTCCACTACCGGCAAGTGTAATCTGCCCCCCCCCCCCCACAATATATATATATATATATATATATATATATATATATATATATATATATATATATATATATATATATATATATATATATATATATATATAATATATTTCTGAAAATTATTCGTGCTATCGCTTCTAGTGACATGTCCAAGAATTGGAACTACAGTATCCTATAATTAACAGAAGGCCCATGGGTCATAACACTCACCTAAGCCACGTTGTCTCAGCTGTTCTTCAAATTTTCCCATGAAAAATTTTGAACCCTTATCACGGCCACAACCTATTACCTAGGTAATAAATTTATCAAACTTGAATCCATACAACATTGGGTTGCTTCTATAGCAATTGGACTAACATGACATTGCTCTTTTAAAAGAGAAGATTTATGAAATTTCTTTCTCATAAAGACATGCGTTAGATAAAATTATGATCCATTATTTGAAAAAAAAAATGTAAGTCTACACAATATATTTGCACATAATTATTATTAAGTGAGGCACTGCTACTCTTGGAAACATCTTTTCAATTTGCTATATGCATGTATTCACGTGTAAAACTTCGATTCTCAATTGTAACAATACTCTATCTCAGGGGACCATGATTTGGAAAAAAAAATAAACTTGTTAATGTACTACCTGAGGATACTTGCTATTTATAGAACTCGTCGTGATCCTGGTGTTCTTTCCAAAATTTTTTGTAATGGATTCTTTTCGTTATAGATTGTAAAACGATGATTTCCTGTTGTGGTACCATCCTACTCCGGAGGCCTTGATGTGAACAAATTTGAATCTGCACTCTCTGAGGATGCTTGCATTTTAATATCACTAATTATGGCCTTGCTGTTCTTGAGAAGATTTTAACAGATTTTTTCCAATACACTCCCGTGTAAAACTTTCCCACTGTACATGTAGCCCCATCCTTTCCCTGGTGATTATGAACAAACTTGAATACACACTATGTCAGAAAACTTTCATGCAACTTTCATTTTTTTATTTTTTTATTTATTTTTTTTTTGGTCCCGTAGTTTTTAAGACACCCAGCCTTGAAAATCTCTTCTTCCTTTAAAAAAAAACCCGAATCTCCTTTACCGAAGGATGCTTTACAGCAATTGAAATTGGGCCATTGGTTCTGGAGTAGAAATCGAAAATTTGACAAGTTTACAGACTGACAACAGATGTTTAGAAAAGTTTACTTAATTGAACCTTTGGTTCAGGTGAGCTAAAATATATATGCTCTCCATCCTCAACAGAGAATAGAATTTGGAGATTTTATTATTCAATTAAACTTTGCTATCAGTAATTGAAAAGCCCCCACCCCCTTTTCAACCAAGTGATTGTATTACTATACTTTAGCCGTTCTATATTTCTACTCTTGGACTTGGACTCGCCTGAACCTGTCACCTTCGGGTTAAGAATGATCAGACCTTATCGCCATAAGGTTATAAATTTGCTATTTATAACAATATTTCACAGACAGTATCGAGGTCCAGTTGTCCGAAATGTGCTTTATCAGCAGGTCATTTTAGAGTATCGAGTCCTTTGGTGCTTAACCGAGCATTATGTAAAGACTTTAATTCAGAAGTTCTACGAGTACATTTTCAGTACATTATATATATAGATGCATATTAAAAATGTTTCTTCATTTAACAGACACCATTTGAGTATGTAATTTACATATATAACAAAATTTAAAGTTTTAATTTTAGATGTATTAACTGTTAACTAACAATATTCCTTTTTTAAAAAAGGAACAATATAACTTTTTCTTTTATTAAAAAAAAGGGGGGAAATAATAATAGATAGAGTAATTGTAATATTAAAAGAATAGGAAGAATATCTGAAGACGATTGAAATTGAAAGTAATCATATAAATTTTGATGTTGATATGTAAATTATGTGTCCTCACCTTTTCCTTGATATATATATTGTTTATAGCTCGCTTGAGCTGAAAGCCCAATAAAGTGAGTTTTTGATCACATATTATCCAGGATCCGCCCGTTCGTTCGTCTTTCCGTGAACATTTTCGACTTCTCCAGAAGCCTGAGCCAGTTTCAACCAAACTTGCCACAAAGCATCCTTGGGTGAAGGGAATTCAAACTGTTCAATTGAAGGGTCACATCTTCTTTCAAGGGGGAGGTAATTAAGAAATTTTGAAAATTGATGGTATCATTTAAGATCTTCTCAAGAACTACTGAACAAACAAAGTCAAAACTTAAATGAATACTTCCTTATATAGCATGAAAATCATGCTCCCTCTCTAGGAAGGTGAATGAGACCACAATAGGGGGTCAAACTTTTATATAAAATACATAAGAAATGTCTTTAAAAATCTTCTCCAGAACATCTGGGTCACAATAAGTCAGGTTGATATGCAAGTATCCTCATGTAGTGTGGATTCAAGTTTGTTCAAATAATGTCCCCGAGGGTAGTTTTATCAATTTTTATATAAACCTTTAAAGACCTTTTACTTAAGAATAGCTAATCAGAATATGCTTGTATCCCATGGTATTGCAGATTCAGTTTTGATCAAATCATGTCCCCATGGTAGGCTTGGGCCACAATTTGGAATCAAAGTTTTACATAGGAATGTAGGGATTTTTTTTTTTAAAAAGCTAGGCTATGATTAGTGGTATTATATGCAAGCATACTTGGGTAGTACATTTTTAATTTTGTTCAAATTGTGCCCCCCTGTAAGCAGGGTGGGTCACAATAGGGTATTAGATTTTTACATTCGAATATATAAGGAAAATCTTCTCATAAGTCAGGCCATGTTTATAGTGATATTAAAATAAATGTACAAGAAGACCAAGGAATTCGAAGTGCGGATACAAATTTGTTCAGATCAGATGAAGGGTTGGACCACAGTAGAGGATCAGAGTTATATATAGGAATAAATTGGGGAAAATCCTCTCAATAACAAAAGAAATAATAAGTGTCACCGACATTCGCGAATCTAAGGGGGGGGGGGGGTCCGGACTCCTCCCCCTGGAATTTGTAGAGTTATAAAATGTATATTCTGAAAGAAATAAAAAATGACCTTGGACCCCCCACCCCACCCCACCCCCGGAAAAAAAAATTCCTGAATC